TTCTATTCTATTCTATTCTATTCTATTCTATTCTATTCTATTCTATTTATTCTATTCTATTCTATTCTTGTTTGCAGGTCTTTATATTTTGTAATTTCCTAAAATAATAAAAGACTAATTATGGTTGGTCATACAGTCAGCCAAACTTTTAGATTGGATTTAGTATTTTTATCAACCCATCAAGTCCTTCCCAAGATTAGACAGGACACAGAAGTAATAATATGCTACTGTAAGTAAAAGATATGGGGATATTTAGGTCAGAAATCATCACAGGCAATTCTGACCATACTACTGTTCCAAATCCTGCTTTTTCATTCTCTATGATAAGTCTTCAACTGATTTCCCCCCGCAAAAAGCATTTAGGAGAATTTGTCTTTGATTGGATGCACATACATATGTGGGTTTTTTTCCCCTAGTGTCAAGAGATTGTGTATGTTCTGTAGTTGCTACACTTTTCCTTGCTTCATGAAGAACTTCTTCCAATAGAAATGTTGCAGATCAGGATGTAAAGACAGTGAAGGAAGGTGCAAGGTGATGGAAAAAAGTAGATCCAGTTTATAATAATGCCTATTTTTGTTTATATCTCAAGAATGGTCTCATTGCTCAAGGGATTCTGCCATACCTTATGAAAGAGAATTAGTACACCTTAGCACTGTGTGAAGGATCAACAATTTATGCTTTAATGGTGACAGTGAGAGTTTATATGGCTTACCGTCATGTTCTTTAGACTTGGTTCCTAGTTCCTACACAATCATCAAAATTATAGTAATCATAAAAATGTGTAGTTTTTGTGAAGGTATAATTCATCTAGTTGGTTCTTGCATACAAATGCCATTTGGCCAACTCAATTCCATGGGTGAGGCAGGTAAATATGACTCCGCTCTACATCCTTTAAGATGTATCTTCTGAGAATGCAGTTTCTTGTCAGACAGTGTTTGATTTGCACCTGTTCATCACAATTTTTCATATCCTGTTAATCCGCTGTTGAACAAAATGCTAACCTCAGAATTTCCACTACCCATAATACAAGTAGTCCTCGACTTACAACAGTTCATTTAGTGACCATTCAAAGTTACAGCGGCACTGGAAAAAAAAGGATCATTTTTCACAGTTACAATCTTTGCAACATCCCCACGATCATGGGATCAAAATTCATACTTATGACTGTTGCTGTGTCCCAAAGTTATATGATCGCCTTTTGCGACCTTCTGATAAGCCAGACTCACTTAACAATGGGAAAGCCAGACTCACTTAACAACCAGGTTACTAATTAATCAATTGAAGCAAGAAAGATAGTAAAATTGGGGCAAAACTCAATTAACAATTGTCTCACCTAGCAAGAGAATTATCTGGGCTCAGTTGTAATCATAAGCTGAGGACTACCTGTACCCTGAGAATTTTTCTTCTACATGCAGATAGAGGAACTTACGAGCAACCTGCCACAGTTGCAGTCACTCTGCAGTAGTACATCGTCTGTGGATAGCGTTGTCAGTTCTGAAACTGCCAGTCCACCCTCCAAGCGGAAAGTTTTCACTAAAGTCCAAGGAAGTGCGAAGAAGGCTCTGCTAAAATGGGTGCAGTACACAGCAGCAAGGTAAGCATGAGTTCACCAATGTAATAAACTCATTTATATCAGGTAGGTGAATGAAAAATTAGGAAAAAAACAAACCTCTACATATTTCATCATTCTTCACTTCCGTAAGAGTTATTTTAAGACAAAAGTGGCACAGTTTCAGGAGAAAGCTACTGTAATTCCTACCCCTAAGCTCCTTCAACTGTGTCTCTAAGGTGCTTTTTCAAAAGACAACCAGGGTTTGTTTGTCCTTGAAGATGTTACACTTCTGATCCAAGTATCTTCCTTGAAACAACTTCAAGGGGAAAAAACAAAATCCAGCTGCCTTTTGAAAAAGCATCTTTAGGATAACCGTGACCTGGATGACTGAAAATCTCCATAGATGTCCTTCAACTGTGCTGTCATTTTTGACATCAAAGTAAGTTAATTTCGTCCTTGCTGTTTTTTGCAGCATGAGGAGTTTTGTCAGCTAATGTTGGTAGCATTATAAAGTGCTAAGGATTTGTATGTGGGTGGGAGGTTTCCACCTCTGCTTTGAGATGTTCTCTTCTCTTCTCATCAATATATTCTTAAACTATATTTATGACAGTGATGACAGTGATGAAAAAGTAACTTTACAAACAATCCTCACTTTTATGATGTTGGAGGTTTATACTAAAGAAGATGATAAGCACAGTCGTGGTTTCACTTAGCAACCACTTCAATTAACAAACAAGTTGGCAGTCATTATTGTGGTTGCTAAATGAGCACCACATGTAACTATTTTAGACAATATCTATGTGCTAATGTGACGTGGCAAGGGAATTTTTTTTGTAGTTATCTATGGGCATCTTAATAGTGTTATTTTGCACAGTGAGAATTTCTATTGCTTGCTGTTGTGATCTTCAAACTTGGGTCTTAGTGCTGCCTTATAGAAGCCCAGGCAGGCACACCTGCTATAGCCCTTAAAAATCATATCTAATGACTTCCTAGCTTGATCTCATGCTTTTCTTTGACTTAACTCATTAAGTCACATTACATCTAAATCCCCTCTGCCTTATTCAGGCTACTTATTTTTGGCAGAACTGGAGGTTGTACTGTGGATCTGATTAGTCTGTGTAAAGTTTCGGATAGTGTCAGATGTCTGTTGAGGTATCTTTTCTCTGAAGGTGTCACAACTTTCCATGTGCCAAATTGTATTGGAAGAAACCTGATTTTCCTTGATGTACTCTATTTAGAAGAGATTTTGATTGACTACTTTGTCTGAACATCTGATTTGCAGAAGAGCAAAATACTTGTGTTTCCATGTTGCTGTCTGAATATATGATTAGAACACTGAAACATGAGATAATGGGACAATAATTTAGCAACATAAAACTAAATGTGAATGTGTAAGAGCAGATTAATATTTTTAGCTATACAAATTACATCCCCTTTTTTATTTCAACTAAAAATTCAAGGCAGCTAATAGGTACAAGAATACAAAGTACATAATCTTATAAAATGATAATAAAATCCTAGAAAAAGAGATGGAGCTTCCTAAAGAGTAGGAAAAAGACCACTTCTATAGGCAATGCATTCCATTGTTTAGGTACGATGAAGTAAAAGACCTACTAGATGCATGATAAGAGATGCCTCTAAATTTGAGGGCAATCTTGAGAGGAACTTCCCTGCAGAACTTGTTTATATATTTATGCACACAAAATATATTGTACCCAGGGAAAATTGCAAGGAATATCACTGGTTCTCCTTTCTTACCCCATTTAGTCCTCTGCTATAATGTTACAGTTCTGAAATACTTTGAAAGTTATTGTGCCAAGGACAGAATTTCTGAATTTATATGTAGCAATTCCATAGATATAAATTAAATATTTAAAAGTTTGTTTAAAAGCAAAATGGAATCAGAAATTATAGATAATTGAATAAAAAAAGATTATTCATTCCAGAAGCACGGCAAATATAGCCTTAATATAATGGTTTAATGCTAGAAGTACAATAAGCTTGTTCAAGTTAGCAGTGTGTTATTTTTGTATTGTTAAGGCAAACTGGGATTGAAGTCAAGGATTTTGGGCAAAGCTGGAGAAGTGGTATTGCCTTTCATTCAGTTATTCATGCTATCCGTCCAGAACTAGTGGATTTGGAGAAGGCGAAAACACAGTCTAACAAAAAAAATTTGGAAGAGGCCTTTACAATTGCAGAATCAGAACTGGGAATCCCAAGGCTCCTTGATCCTGAAGGTAGGGTAACATTTAATGCGTAATTTAAAACAATTTTAGAAAATTTATAAATGTTTTGATCTTTTATGTCCTATTGTTTCTCTTATTCTTCTTTTATTTTTCTTATATGTACCCATTTCATGTATTCACAACTATGTATACACTTATACTTATTATCTTGTAAACAATTGGCAAATCAAATAAATAAAAAAAATTTAAAAAAATGTGACACAGCATTTGTTTTTATGTCTTGTTTTTACTGTTGTTTTTTTTAAAAAAAATTCCTCATATTTTTTTTCAGACGTGGATGTGGATAAACCAGATGAAAAATCAATTATGACCTACGTAGCACAGTTTCTGAAACATTATCCAGATCCTCATAACACAGCAGGCGATGCACAGGAAACCGATGTATGTTTTTAATTACAATGTACAATAAAATCAGACACAATAGTAAAGGTTTACAGGACATCTAAACATAGTCTGAGTTAATGAGTATTTGGGCCACGGATGGGGAAAAAATTGCAATTTAGAAAAATAAGGAAAAGAGTTTGAAATGGAAAAAATGGGATAGTGGCCTTCATTGGGATCACAAATATGGAAAGATGATAAATAATTTCAAAAGTTGTTTTGATGTAATCTGATGGTAATGGTTTTTCCATTTTTATCAACTTTTTTTTAAAAATATACTTTCCATTAAGGATTGTAATTGCAATAGTAAAAATTAATACAAATTAAACTTAGAGAAATGTGTAATGGAAAACATTAAAAATGAAGGAAAAGGGAAGAAAGAAGAAAAGGAAAGAATATAATAAAGAAAAAAATACAAAGAAGTGACTTCTGATCTTCATTAGAAGAATAACTTTACTCCCTGTAAGATTAAACATTATTTCTTCATTACATATACCTTATCAACAAGCAAATCCATAATACATAAATGTTTCAATTGCAAAACAAGTCTTATTTTCACTTTGATTAAATAAACCAGCTTTCTGTTCCTTCCTTTTATTTGTAACAACCTTAATCTATAATGCAATCTAATAATGTAATGGTATTTGATTTCCCTTTCAATTCTTTTTTTCCCATCACACAAACTTTTTCAAGGTTTTAGCAAGTCTTTTTTTTTTCTAGATCCAATAAGATCATTTTCCTGGTTTCTGATTTGTATTCCC